AAAATTTTTTTTTTTTTTTTTTTTTTTTTTTTTTTTAAATGATGGCAGCTTATAGGACAGCAAATAAATGTACATACATTAAAGCTAAATTTTTTCACAAACATATATTATGCTTTAGATTAATAAAATCTCAATAAAATTTAAAATCATAAATAATGTAAAAATGCTTTGAGATAGACTAAATAACTACTAAATTTTGTTTGGTTTTGTTAGCAGTTTTAGATTAGGCACAAAAATGAATAAAATATAAAGGTTTCAAAAATAATTTTATTTTAAGCTCTGTATGAATTTTTGGTCTTAAATTTATGTTAGAGAAAACGTATCTTATCTGTAGTGCTATTGACTTCATTTGGAACAATAAAAGCCATGTTGATTCGTAAACATTGGATTATATTTGTCTTGCCCATCCTGACAAACAGCATCAGATAATAACACGATTACCATGAAAAACGTGGCTGTGTAGCAAGTAAATTTGCTTAGCTGTCTGACGTGACGTGATCTGTCATCAGCCGTTCCTGTGCCACCATTGTCTGACATCCCAGGACAACCTAATACACAATACACAGACTGGGGTAACTTTAGTCCCATGTTGGCAGGACAGAAGAGGTCTGAGCAGTCCTGCAATAGTAACAGATAATCACCCCCTTGAGAAACTCCCTCCAATCCACATCCCTGAACACACTCCTGGATTCACTGCCTCTGTTTGTGGAATAATGACAGCAGGGGTGGCCATTTCTCAATACACTTTCCTCTCTCCTCTGCCCTGCCAAATACACTGCTGCTTTTACCAAAGATGGTTACAGCTGGAAAGCAGAAGGGAATGAACTGAAATATAGGCAGAAAAATGTAAATGAATGCAACAAATAAGTGAACCATGCACTAATTACATTTACAAAATTGTAAAAATTGTATTAGCTGCAGAATAAATAAATAAAAGTGCCATGCACTAATTACTAATTACATTACATTTACTTCACAAAAACATTAATTTATGCTTTAGAAATAATTTAACACAATTATTAAAAAGTAAAAATCTCTCTCTCTCTCTCTCCATGTATATATATATATATATATATATATAATGCTTTAGAATAGATTTAGAAAAATGTTCTTCGTAAAAATACATTCATTTATGCTGTAGAAATAATAAATTAATAAAATTAAAAAAGATAATAAATAATACAAAAAATGCTTTCAAATAGATTAAACTGATAAATAAATAAATATACATGATTGGAGTGTAAATACATAAAGTGAGTATATATATATATATACACACAAAATATAATTATATGTAAATATGCCCTGAACATACTTAATATGAAAAATGCTCTTCACAAAAACACATTCATTCATTCATGCTTTAGAAATAATAAATTATTACAATATATAAAAAAAAAAACTATAAATCACGTAAAAATGCTTTGGAATTAAAACTGATTTTGAAATTAAAACTGATAAATAAATGTATAAATACATAAATATAGTGTAAACAGTATAGATAGATAGATAGATTTAATATAAATAATTTATATACATTTTTTTTTTAATATTAAAAAAATGTATTAAAAAAATATATAGATACAAATTATATAATGAACATACTTAGGATACATTTGAAAAACCAAAAGTCATGAGCAACAATAGGTGGTCTAAATGGGGCATGGCTTTGAAGGGTGTCTTTTTTAGGTTGTCTCCCCTTTGTTAGAGGTGTGAAGAGCCAGACGGGGAGGGGGCAACTGTATATAAACCCTGAGAGACTCAGAGAGTCAGTCATTCAATCAGGAGAGCGACACTGGCATCACTACATCAAGCATGGCTCTGCTCATCCAGCTGCTCATTTGCACCACAGTGATCTCATTCACTCAGGGATTCGACCATGAGGATATGAAGCAGGCGATGGTCCAAAAACTCAGACTAACCGAACTCCCCAGGATTCAGAAGCGAGATTTGGAAAATCTAGTCATCCCAGCTCACATCAAGAACAAATATCTGTCCATGCTGAAACTCCATCACAAGCGCAGGAGGAGATCCCTGCCAAGCCTGGCGGGAATTCTTAGAGGCATCCATGGAAATGCAGGTGGGTTACATTTGCAAAATGAAATTGAAATGTTAA